AATTTGGAGAATACAGCCAGGCATGGTGGCACATGCCTGTAATCCCAGTGACCTGGAAGGCTGAGGAAGGAAGATCGTTGAGTGCAGAGCCAGCTGCAGCAACTTAATGAGGCTCTAAGCAACATAGCAAAGACCCTGTCTCTTAAATAAAATATAAAGAGGGGTATGGATGTGGCTCAGTGGATAAGTGCCCCTGGGTTCAATCCCTAGTACAAAAAAGCAAAAAAAAAAAAAGGATTTGGATTTTGGTTTGACTGGCTTTTTTGCAGCAAAGCCTTTTCCTCAAAATTGGGGGCTGGACAATCCTGATGCCCTCTGCCCACCGCCTACACACCCTACACACACACACACACACACACACACACACACACACACACACACACCAGATCCCCAGGGGTACTTTGGACCCCATCTCTTCCTACCAGGAGTCCCAGCTATTGGATGTCTCTTTCAGCCTTTGCCATTTCTTACTCATTCTGACTCTCATGAGTAGAAGCAACAGCACTCAGTGTACAGGCTGTCAAACCTTCCATGGTCCTACTGGCCTATCCTCCAACTGCCATATGACTCTTCTGTCCTCTCCCCTTGACTCAGCCCACAACGTTCCCAGGTCTTCAAGTGTAAATCCAAAGTCCAGTGTGTCCAATACAGTGAGATGCCAGCCTCACACCCAGCTCTATCCAACCTGAGCCACGGCCCTTCATTCCTCTCCTTTCACCTCCTATCATGAGCAAGCTATGCCATCAACACAGACCAAACACATTGTGTATTTCCACAATGTTGGAATTTATTGAATAACGATAGATTCACAAGCTACACCACTTTCAGTGGTTGCAATTTACCAAATACTTATGGGTCACCTGATAGTCAGAAGCCCAGTGAACACAAGTTCTTTTATTCCATTCCAATCTTAAGTTTTAACATCTACAACACTCAAGTCATACATCATCCTTCACATAAAGATACACATACACATCATAGAAAGACTAAGAAGATGTTAAGGCAGCCATACCATAAGGTTAAAGGATACTGTGCCAAGAGCACAGGCAGATGCAAAGCCCTGAGTTCAATCCTCAGCACCATTAAATAAATTAATTAATTAAAATGTGCACAGGCAGAGAGCAGATACAAATCAAAGAATCAAAAAATCACTGTAGGTGATCAGATAAGGGTTTTAAGGAACCAGTTCCTCATAATTGTTAAGGCAGAGGATACCTTAGAATGGGCCTCATGTAGTTGTTATGGGCAGGAGAAACCACACTGGTTCTGGGGACAGAACCAGAGGTTTGTCACTGTGGCTATTTTCCTGGGCAAGGCTCATGACAACTGTCCAGGTGACAGGGTCAGGAGGACACCATGTCCAATCTTGGTGGGCTCCTCCTTCTACAGGTCTTAGGTGAGGGGGTTATATCTGGTGAGGTTGATAAGCTCCTGTGTCTGGTGTTTCTGATATGATTTGAGATGCCCCTGTGTCTAGGTGTGCCTTTGTTTGATAAGTTGGCACAAATAAGTTATTTATCAATTTGTATGGGCAGATGGTGGTTGCTTACTTGTATGAACAAGATATAGAATCATTCTACCTTGGCCCTTGTGCTCAAAATGAAGTAACTCATGGCAAATTACTGCTTTACAAAGGGGAGTAATTCAGGGTTAGGCACAGACTGACAACTACTGCTGTTCTATACATTATGGAGTAACTCAGAGCAGGGCACAGCCTGCTCTCCACACGTATAATCCTGCAGGGTCATGTGCTGATTGTGTTGGGGGACAAATCCATCATCACTTACCCATCAGTACACACACACACACACACACACACACACGCAGCTAGAAGAGTAGTAAGTAAGAACTGCCCGGACCAGGCGGGGAACTGCCATGGCCCAAGCACTCAGGCCCAAAGGTGTCCTGCACTCTTCTGTCTCTTCTTCTGCTGGGATCGGTGCACTGGCCCCAGGCAGGGCCTTGGCTCAGCAGATTCAGCGGGAATTAGATGCTCACCAGCAGCTCCAACAGGTGTCCCCATGAAATGGGCATCTCCCATGGCCACACTCCATCCCACCTAGCTCTTCCTCCTCTGTTAACCAGAAGAGGAAGGATGTGGCACCTTCCAGAAATTTGGAGAGAGGCTTCTTCCCTGAATTCACCTCTTTCTCCCCTCCTGACCAAGGCAGCCTCCATCCTCTCTAATAGGACCTCTGCAGAGGCCAGACCTGGTGACCTAGGGACATCAGCTAAATTGGGCCCCGCAGAAGACTTGTGGTCTCTCTGAGGAGTGCATCCTGAGAATAACAGGCTAAATTTACCAAATAAAAATACAAGAGGCCCAGTTAAATTAACTACAAGTACTTCATTTTTATTTTTTACTATTAATTGTGGTAAAATACATATAACAAATTTATCATCCTAATCATTTTAAGGCGAACTGTTCAGTGGAATAAAGTCCATTCATAATACTGTGCAGTCATCACCACCATCCACCTCCAGAACTTGTTTTGCAAAACTGAAATTCTATATCTATTCTATAATTCCCTCCTGCCACACTCACAGCCCCTGGAAACCACGATTCAGATTCAACGTTCTGTCCTTATTGATTTGACTCTGGGTACCTCATATAACTAGAGTCATACAGAATTCCTTTTTGGTTTATTTCACTCAGCCTAATGTTCTCAAGGTTGCTCGTGTGGCAATACGTGTTAGAATGTCCTTCCCTTTTTAAGGCTGGCTAATAGTCTACTATGTGTATAAGCCACGTTTTGCTTATACATCCATGTACCTGGACACTGGGGTTGCTTTCACCTTTGGCTATTGTGAATCACGCTGTTATAGACAGGAATGTATAGATCTTTCTTTGATAACTTGTGTCTTAGTCCATTTGTGTTCCTATAACAAAATACCTTGGGCTGAAATTTATTTCTTACAGTTCCAGAGATTGGGAAGTTCAGGATCCAGGCACAAACATTCCGTGTCCAGTGGGGGGCCTTCTTGTTGTGTCCTCATATGGCAGAAGGTAGAAGCACAAAAAGGACCTAGCTAGGTTCTCTCCATTCCTTTAAAGGTCAACGACCCCATTTAATGAGTGCTCCAACCTAATGACTTTATCATCTCCTAAAATCCCATCTCTCAATACTGTCATGTTGGAGTTCATGAATTCTGTAGGGGACACAAACATACCAACCACAGCACCCTGTTTTCAATTTTTTGGGATATGTACCCAGATGTGGAATTGCATGATCATACAGTAATTCCATTTGTTTTTGTTTTCTTTGTTTGGCACCAGGGATTGAACCCAAGGGCACTTAACTGAGCCACATCCCCAGTCCTTTTGATTTTTTTATTTTGAGACAAGGTCTCAATAAGTTGCTTAGGGTCTCACTAAGTTGCTGAGGCTGGCTTTGAACTCACAATCCTCTTGCCTCAGTCTCCTGAGCCACTGGGATTACAGGCGTGGGCCACCATGCCCAGCTTGCAATTCCACTTTTAATTTTAATTTAAAATTCCAATTTTAATTTTTTTGAGGAACCACCATACTGCTTTCCATGGTGCTGAGCCACTGTACATTCTCACCAACAGTCTGTGCACAGTGTTCCCATTTCTCCACACCCTCACCAGTACTTGTTATTTTCTGATTTTTGATAGAAGCCCTTCTAATTAGTGTAATAATACAGATGATCTTTTAATATAAGTAATTTTTCCTAAAGTAATCCTTGTTCATCTGAAATTCAAATATACCTAGGCATCCTGTATTACATTTGGTGACCATGGCAGAACGTGGGGTACCATTCTGATCCTGCTATCTATTAATGGGATGTTAGCAAATTTAAGATGACAGGTTAAGAGGAATACATCCTCTGGGGCTTCCCCTCCTCAGAACCATGGGGACCTATAGGGATGGCCAGGTAAGGATTAAAAGCAAGTGGAGCACAGCCAGACAGAAGGACCCCTATATCAGCCAGTGGCCAATCCAGCCCCACACACAGTGCAGCCAAGACAAATAGCCCACCCAGCCTGCCACCCACATGGTGGGCATGAGGTTGTGTGTTTGTGTTCTGCGGCATTAGCTGATATACCAGGAAAACTCGGGGAAGGCCAGAAGAAAGGGTTCTAGCCACTGGCAGAAAGACAAACTAGTGGTATATTCATATAATGAAATTTTTTGCAAGCAGTTGGAATGAACAAACAAGAGCTATAAGCATCATCATAAATAAATCTTAAAAACACTTTGGGCAAGCAGAACAACTTGAAGTTTTACCATTTCAAATGAGAGCACAAACATGCAGTAAAAGTCTGAGCACACACATCAGCAGGAGCCCCCGGCAACAACATCCTGAGCAGGATTGATCACCCCTGGGGATGCGGGTTCCCAGATTTGCAGAGTAATGACTATGTTCTGACGCAGGCAGGCATAGACACTCAGAAGATGCTGCTTTTATTATTAAAAGGATATGTGAAACAAAAATTATGAATCTGAGATGTAAGCATTGACATGAAAAACTATTTATTGCCTTTACGTCAGTAAACATTTAAATATTTATCAAAAATGTGTATTTTTATGACAACCCAGATTTTTCTGACATGAAAAACTAATAGTCAACTAAATTATTTGCTACATATACAGAAGTAAAGCATGTTCTAAGATATATATGTGTGTGTGTGTGTATGTGTGTGTGTGTGTGTGTGTATATATATATATATATATTCCCAAAACCATGGAGTACTTTAAATAACATGTGAAATGCAAGTTTTCATACCACAAGTTCCCTTTCCTATTTTTTTTTTTTATTCTTTGGATCTAAGTTTGTCCTATTTTAGAAATATCATTTATCCAAAAATGGGCCAGGAAAATGATCTAATACTGGAAAGATTCTGGCAAAAATTTTAGAAAGTCCCCCATACACACCCCCCCCCCAAAAAAAAAGAAAGAAAAGCAGGGGACCTATGTCCATAGAAATTCAGTAGTTGTGAGTTCCACATTTATAAGATAGGTTATTTTTTAAACTCACCTCCCTTCTGTGAGAAATGAGTCCAAATCCTGGTGCTCAGGAGCCCAGCGGCTTTGCCCGGCAGCCTGGCTGGGGTAGGAGCTTGAGGAGTCTGCCCAGCTGTGTTGGTGGTTTCTGGTGGTGGGTCTGACAGTCCCCAGCCTCCCAGGGCCTGCACAAGTTGGAGCAGATGTCTGATGTAGCTCCACCTCCAGTGCACCAGAAGCCAGCCTGCCATCTTTGTTCTCTAGATGCATGTTCTGTTGCCAGTCTTCTCTCTAGGATCAACCAGAAAGAAACTACTGTTGATGAAAAGTAGACTGGGAATATAGCATCTTAGGAAATCCGAACCACTGGATGGTACAATAGGAAGGTCACTTATAAAGAGGTCCTTCCAGTGTTCTACCATTTTAATATCACACAGAAAACAGTGTATGCTTTCTCCAAGGATAAACAGTTCAGTACATTTCATACTAGCAATGTTCAACAAGACAGCATTAGGTTAAGTGAATATTCAACAACAGAGTTTTAGGTAAGTAAATTGTGAGATGTTCATGGTATGAAATACTGTGCAACCATAAAAATGATCTAAAGGGATATTTATTGATATTGGGAAATATTATGGATATGAAAATAACAACTGACACACTGTGATATTTTTGTTGATGTAAATACTTATTAGTTACATGTATAGAACAGAAAACCAAAAAGACACACCCTCCAAAACATAGCCACCTCTGGATGGTGAAGGTACAGATGATTGGGGTTTTTTTTCTTTGTCTATGCTCTGGTTTTTACACTTTTTGCATCTAGCAAATTAATATCTTTGAAATAATAATACCTGTTATAAGAATAAGAAAATGTACTATACTTGGAAGGTTATGGTGTCCTACTTTCAAGCATTACTATTTTATTTTATTTATTTTATTTTATATTTTACATTTTCCAGCCTCCCATAACCCAGCAAGGACCTTTGGTTTTGCAGCAGCCTGGTTCACTAACAAGCATTTTTGTTCTGAAGCCAAGGATCATTGTGCACTTTGACTGAATAGGATTTATACCATTGAGAAACAAAGGAATGTGCTGGGGCTAGGGTTAGCACAACACACACATCCATCACTCCCTGTTGCCTGATTTGTACACAACATTCGCAATACCCCATAAGCACAGAATTCCCATGGACCCAAGACTGGTGGGCATTCAGCAAGACTCAAAGGAAATACAGGTAATGTATGTGATGTCTACAGTTGAGTAGGCTGGTGCTATCGTTAGATCTAGAATGTCCCACAAAGGCCCATGTATGTTAAAGGCTTGGTCCCCAGTCCATGGTGCTATTGGTAGATGGTAGAGCCTGTAAGAGGTGAGGCCTCAAAGAGGATGATGGGATCTAATACTGGAAAGATTCTGGCAAAAATTTTAGAAAGTCCCCAACCCCACCTCTTTCCCTTTCTGGCCATGAGGTGAGCCGTTTTTCTCTGCCATATGCTCTGACCATGATGTACTACCCCAGACCCAAAGCAACAGGGTCAATGATCATGGACTGAAACCTCTGAAATTTTGAGCCAAAATAAATCTTTTCTCATGGTAAGTTGATTATCTCAGGTACAAGCTATAATGACAGAAAGCAATTAATGCACATAGAACACTGACAGCCAAGAAGCCACACTTTCTAATAGAGCCAGAACTTATTTCAAATACAAAGACATTGGCACTGAAAGAAACCCAACTGAGCAGAGAAAACTACATCCTTCTTACTGTTGATATTTCCCTGCTTTAACCAATCACATGCTGAAAATAGCTTACAAATCAGTAAGTCAATGGCACACAGTGTTAGAATGTAATTGTGTCAATCGTGAAATAAAAGCAATTGAATTAGATTTATGCAATGCTTCCACCATCTGGTAAGAGCGAAATACATATACACATACAAGCTACAAAAGACAAATCGTGTGATCTTATTGATTCCACATATGAGTTAATTGCTCCAATATTTGCATTTAAAACTGAAATTGTACAATGTGAGGATGACAACTTCAAGGTCAGAAACAAGATAAAGATGTTCCCTTACCACCCCTATTCAACATAGTACAGAAAATTCTAACCAGATAATTTTAATAATTCTAATTTTGTAGACATTGTTTTAAATTTTGTAATTTAACCTATTCACTACTTCCATCATTCTGTGTATTGTGAAACATTATATAATGTAAATTTCATGGAAATCTAAATTAAAATACATAAACCTTCTCATTAACCTTTAAATTTTGTATCATGTGCAATGTGATTCCTGCATCTTCAAAATATTTGCTGAATCACTGAAATTTTGTTTTTGTTATTAGCCATAACTTTTAGGGAAAAAAATCTCTTTGATAATGTGATTAGGGGGAATCACCAGTTGCTTTTTCTTTCTTCAATGTAGACTTAATAGACACCTATTTATATATATAGTTAGAGTAACTGTGATATCACTGTATACCACAAAAATGTGACTTATAACTATTGCCATAAAGTCACAATAATGGTAAGATTTTTTTAAAAAAATAGGGCAATGGGGCATGAAAAGAAAATAAAGACACACTCATGAGAAAATAAGAAATAAAACTGTTCTGATTCACTGATAGCATGATTTTCTGCATTAAAAATAAAAAAGATTCTACTGAAAAAAAATTAGTGAGTTCATCAAGGTCATAGGACACAAAGTAAACATTTAAAATTCTGTAATACTTCTACTTACTATCAATGAATATGTTGACACCTAAATGAAAAATACAACATCATTACAACTGCTCAAAAACAAGTAAATATTTACATAAGCATTTAATAAAGCATGTATGTGACTCATGCCCAAAACTCCACAACACTGATGAAAGAAATCAAAGAAGATCTGAATAACTGAGAGGTACCCATTCATGAAGATTCCATACAGGAAAGATGTCAGTTCTTCTTAAATGAAATACAGATTTAAAGCAGCACCAATCAAAACTCCAACAAGAGGTTTTCAAATATAAACAAGCTTATTCTAAAATTTATTTTTCATATAGGAAAATAGCAAAAGGTCTAGAATGTCTAAAATATTTAGGAAAAAGAAGAATAAAATGAAAGGAAGCAGTCCACCCAATTATAAGATTTACTTAAGGGCTACTGCTGGGAGCCATTAGCCAAGTAGGTATGACAATTTCCTTGCCAGCGTACCCCATGTTGCAGTGACATTGAATGTAGGTGACCTTGTTCAAGGACCAAGGCGGATTAGGGCGTTCCCGGTTTAGGTTCCAAGTTTAAGGTTTAAGATTATTCCTGCTGGGAATAGGGCGTATCCTGCTGCCTGAGTTCCCCTTGAGTTCTCACGGGATTCAGACAATATATTTTGGAGATAGAAGCCCAGTGGGTGTGGATTTGGGCAGAGAACGTGGATTTCCCCAGAACGTGATTGTAGACGGCTGGTGTGAGTTCGGGAATAAAGAGTTGCTGTTTGAATCTACAAGCTGTGTGGTGGCTCGTGATTGTGTGCCCAGCCAGACTGCGGCAGGCTACAGTCACCAAGACCAGTGATAGGACACATGTGTTGTAATTTTTATTGTTAGGGTTTCCATTTTTTTAGGTTTTTCTCTGGCGGATGGCCTTAAGACGAAATAGCCTCTCTCTAGGGGAGCCCTGAGAAAGGGAAAGGTAGATTTGGGTGGGTAGGTCAGATGAGACGGAAAAACCAAAAAGCAGAAGGTCAAAATGTAAAAATTATTACTCGCAGGTCCAAGAGTTAGGAGTGCTAGAGGTCTACAGCAAATCTAGAAATGGGGGGCGGGGCGTGGGACTGTACTTTTGGTCACACTTGGGTATCATGCCTCAGGCATTGCCTTGGGGCTATTGATTAGCTAATTTAAAGAAAACTGGGTTTGTGGTCAGTGAGATGAGGAGCAAGCAGGCTGTACTGCAAACTCCCAAACAAGAAGGGGAAGTTTTAGCAAGGCTAAAGGTACACGTGGGTTTCCAACAACTTAACTTCATGGCCTAAAAGTTGAATCTGAGTCAGCAACTGTCTTAGATAAACTTATGACAACACAGATTAATGAATTCAAACAAAAGACCCAGAAATAGATTCCCCCACATATGCCAAACTGATTTTTACAAAAGTGCAAAAACACCTCAGTGTTAGAAAATCTGTTCAACAAATGGTGCTGGAGTCACTGGACATTCCATAGACAGAAAAAATAAACTTCAGCTAGGTCTCACATCTCAGGCAAAAACTAACTCAAAATGGGTCACAGGCAAAAATATAAAAGATTAAACTACAAAGTTTTTAGAAATAAATAAATATTCAAGATCTTAGGCCAGTATGCAATGAGTCTCAAGCTTGACACTAAAAGCACAATCCAAAAAGGGAATTTTTAGAAATTGGACTGCACCAAAATTAAAATATTTTGCTCTGTAAAAGACTTGGTTAGGAAGACAAAAAGACAAGCTACAGGCTGGGAGAAAATATCTGCCAATAACATACCCAGCAAAGTACAAATATACCAAATATATAAATAACTTGTAAAATTCAATGGTCAAAATAATTAGAAAATGAGCAAAGATATAAAGAGACATTTCTCTGAGGAAGATATATTAGATGACAAATAAGCATGTGCAAACATTCTACATCATGAACCTCTATAGGGAAATGTAAAAAAAAATGAAAGAAAGAGAATACTAGGCAATTATTATATGTTATGTTCAGTTTATAGAAGTATTGGAGTATGCTCTGATTTTTTTTTTGATAACACACCCTGAATAATCAAAATAAATTGTCATGATGTTGGCATTATGTTAAAAAAAAAAAAAAAAAAAAAAAAAAACTAAGATGAGTTATCACTGTGCATCTATCAGAAGGGCTGAGATAGAGACACCAGCAAATGCTGACCAGGATGCCAAAAGACCAATCAGTCAAATGTTACCAATGGGAATGTCAAGTGATACAACCACTCGGGTAAGCAGTTTGGCAGTTTCTTAAAAAGTAAAATTGGAGGACCATGTCAATGTTAATATTCTAGAAGATGGCAGATTAGAAGCACCCAGGCAGTTATTCATCTGACAGAAGATTAATATCCTGAACATATAAAGATCTCAATAAATTTAATACCAATAGAACAAATAATCCAGCCAACAAATAGGCAAATGAGTTGAACAGACACTTCTCAAAATAAGAATGATGTCAGTCATTTCCAAGCAAATAGATGGAACTGGAGATCATCATGTGAAGAAAGGGAGACTCAGAAAGATA